GTGTATGTGTGTATGTGTGTGTGTGTGTGTGTGTGTGTGTGTGTGTTTCATCTAGAGATTGAGCCTAGGATCTTGCATGCCAGGCAAGCGCTCTACCACTGAGCTTTGACCCAGTTCTTGCTTTTGAATTTGATGATCTTCTGACTTCATTGTTTTATATTTTATTCATTTTCTGCATTGGTTTCTTTGGTCTGCTTTGGTGTTCTAGTTTCTCCATTGCTGGAAAAAATACTCTGACCAGTACCAGCTTGGAGAGGAAAGGGTTTATTTGGCTTACCTCTCCCAGGTCACAGTTTATCACTGAAGGAACCCAAGGTAGGAACTCAGGGCAAGAACCTGGAGGCAGGAGCTGAAGCACAGACCATGGAGGAACGCTGCTTACTGACTTGCTCCCCTGGCCCATGCTCAATCTGTTCTCTTGAAAATACAGGACCAGGGGTGGCACCATCCACAGCAGCCTGGGCCCTCCCACATCACTCAGCAGTCAAGAAAATGACCCACAGACATGGCCATAGGCCAGTCCAATGGAGGCAGTTCTCCAATTGAGGCCCCTTCTACCCAGGTGTGTCAAGTTGACAACTAAAGCTATCCAGCACATTTGGTGTATTCAACTTAAAAAATTTTTTGTATGTTTACATATGTGTGTGCACATGTGTATGCATGTTCACTTGTGTGGTGTGTGTGAGTATGCATGCATGCGTGAGGAGGCCCAAGATTGATGTCAGGTTCTTCCTTGATCACACTCTACCTTAAGTATTGAGACAGGGTCTCTCACTTGAACCCAGAGCTTGCCAATATGGTTAGTAGGGCTAGCTTGGGATCTATCATCTCTTTCACATTATAGGTTGGCTGCTGTGTCCAGCTGGCTTTTACCTACATGCTGGGGGTTTGAGCAAGTGCTTCACCTGCTGGGCTATCTCCCCAGGCCTATTGTTGTTTTTTTAATTTTGCAATTAAATCTATTCCCTGCCTTATACATATTTAAGGAATTTATAACTCCAAAAAAATGTTTGGGAACTAGAGGGATGGCTCAGTGATTAAGAGTGCATACTGCTCTTCCACAGGACCTGAGTTCATATTATAGATACAACTGACCCATATTGGGAAGCACCCACCTGTAACTCCAACTCCCGGGGATTAGATCTCCTTTTGGCCTCCTTGGGCACTCACACATACATACACATACCCACACACAGACACACATACATACAGTTTAAAAAATAAAATAAATTGCCGGGTGTGGTGACACACGCCTTTAATCCCAGCATTCTGTAAGCAGAGGCAGGTGGATCTCTGTGAGTTCAAGGCCAGCCTGGTCTATGTAGTGAGTTCCAGGACAGCTGAGGGAGCCCCTAAAAAAGAAATTCAGTTAAAAAAAGGAGCTAGACAAAAAAGTAGGACAAGATGTCTCAGTGTACAATGTGGCTCTAGAATAGATAGATAGATAGATAGATAGATAGATAGATGGATGATAGATAGATAATCTTGGGGCTGGAGAGATGGCTCAGTGGTTAAGAGCACTGGCTGCTCTTGCAGAGAACCTGGGTTTGATTCCCAGCACTCACATGGCAGCCAACAACTGACCCAACTCCAGTTCCAGGGGATCCAATACCTTCTTCTGACCTGGGAGGGCATTGCACGATACGGGTGCACTTACATACATGCAGGCAATAACACTCATACACATAAAATAAAAATAATTTTTAAAAATTAAAATCTTAAAAATCTTTGGAGCTGCTCATGGTAGCACAAACCTTTAATCAGCACTCGGGAGGCAGGGGCAGGCAGATCTTTTGAGATTAAGGCCAGCCTGAGAAAAAGAAAAAAAAAAAAAAAAAAAAAAAAAAAAAAAAAAAAAAAAAAAAAAAAAAAAAAAAAAAAAAAAAAATCTTTGTTTGGAATTAGACAGTAAAACCAGGACATGGTAAGTGCGCAATCTGTCCTCTGAGCTATACCTCCAACCCATTCACTCTAGGTATTACATTAGTTGTATTCTGTAATTATTAACTTTAAGCAGGGTAAAGTGTTTAAATATTTAGGATCTCAGTGACCGCTTGTTGAACAAATAAAAGCATTTGGTGGCAAGGGAATAATCATCAACAGGGCTAATTGTTCCCTCTTGTTCAGGTAACCTATTTAGGTTGATAATACCTTTTACTCCATTGCTTTTTCTATACTTTTATAGTTCTTAAAGTTTTTTTGTAAATCTACTCTGAACTTTTCCTTCTAAGTGTTGTCCTTGTGAACTTCCTTGAAGATGACAGCTTGTGTGTGACGGGAATTATGGGACATTCTGTGCAGACCGTGGAAACTGTGACTGAAGGGGACCACAGAGTGAGAGAGAAGCTGATGCATTTGTTCACATCTGGAGATTGCAAAGGATACAGCCCTGAGGATCTGGAAAAGAGAAAGAATAGCCTAAAGGAGTGGCTTGAGAAGAATCACATCCCCATCACTGAACAGGGAGATACACAAAGGACTCTTTGTGTGGCCGGAGTTCTGACCATAGATCCACCATATGGTCCAGAAAACTGTAGCAGCTCTAATGAGATTATTCTGTCCCGTATTCAGGATCTTATTCAAGGACATCTTTCAGCTTCCCAGCAAGAGGCCAAGAACTGTGAACACACTGATTGAAAATTACTTCATTGTTTTGTATAAAATGCTTTGAATATAAGTTGATCATATTATAGGACTTCAAAGGCACATGCAAGATGTGTGTGTATGTGTATGGGGGTGCGTATTTTACATTTTGTTGTTTGGTCAAATCAGAGGGCAGGATCGTAAGTGCTCATTTCCTTGGGAAGTTAGTGCATGCAAGGATAGCATTACATGCAGTGTAATTAGCACAAGGAAGTCAGGATCATAAGGGCCTTTTTTGCAATGGGGATATGTCACCATTTATATAAAGCAAGAAATATGTTTTGAATAAATGTAGCAATATAAAATAAATTTATACATTTCAATACAGAAATTTAAGGTAAAAATCACAGTCTCAGATTCCTTAATCAAATCTATGTGTTCTTAAAATGTTGGGGTTTTTTAAGCTTTAAAATTTTTTAAATTTGTATTTTATGTGTATGAGTGTTTTCCCTGCATGCATGTAAATGTACCATGTGTGTGCAGTGATTCTGGAGACCAGAGGAGGACATGGGATCCCCTGGATCTGGAATTAAGAATGGTTGTTAGCCATAGTGTAGGTACTGGGGACCTAGCCTGGATCCTCTGGAAGAACAGGAAGTGCTCTTGACTGTTGAGCCATTTCTCCAGCCTCTAAAATGTTGGTCTCTGAGTTTGATATAACAGCATAGTGTTTGAATCAGTATGCTGTGGTTTGGCTGTGGCTTGTGTCTCCCTAACAGTTCATGTGTTGAACTTATTCCTCAAGGTGGTGGTATTGGGAGGTGATAGAAACTTTAAGAGATGAGGTCTAGTGGGAGATCCCTAGGTTACTGGAGGTATGCTCTCAGAAGGGACTGTGGGACCTGAGTCTCTGACTTCCTCTTTGATGAAGTGAGTTCTTCCACTGCCACAATGTGATACCTTTAGGAAAGAGAAAACACTTAAGTGAAAGTACACCAGCCATCACCAAAGTGGAGCTGATGCCATGTTATTCTTTTATACCTCCAATGAGCTAAATTTCTTCCTGAGTAGCCTGTTACAGGCATATATTTCATTATAATGACTAAAAGCTGACTGGAGTATATTTTTTATGGTTGAAACTTGAAAGTTTCGTCTGTTAGCAAAATCTTTTTCTTTTTATTATTTTTATTTTATGTAAATGAGTATATTGCTTACGTGTGCACCCGTGTCGTCCATTGCCCACAGAGGTCAGAAGAGGGTGTCAGATCCCCTCGAGATGGAGTTACAGATGGTTGTTAGCTGCTATGTGGGTGCTTGGATTTGAACCTGGGTCCTCTGCCAGAGTAGTTGGTGCTCTTAACCACTGACCCATCTCTCCAGTCCATAAAAATCTTTTTTTTGGGGGGGGGGCCTTTTTGAGAAAGGGCCTCACTGTAGCCCCAGCTGGTGTGGCACTTGATATGTAGACCAAGCTGGCCTTGATCTCACAGAGATCTACTTGCCTCTGCCTCCTAAGTGCTGAGACTAAAGATGTGCGCCACTACACCTAGCCTATAAAATCTTTTTTAAAGAAAATATTTATGTTTATTTTTATTTATATGTGTGGGTCTGTGTTGGTGTAAATGTATGCTATGTATGTGCAGATGCCTGTAGAGGCCAGAAGAGGGCATCTGATGATCCCCTGAAGCTCAAGTTACAGGTGGTCGTGAGCTGCCTGATATATGGGTGTTGGGAACCAACTGGGTCCTCTGGAAGAGCAGCAAGACTCTTAACTACTGAACCATCTCTCCAGCCTCATAGCACAGGTTGGCATGAACTCAGTTTGTAGCCTAGACTGAGCTTAAATTCATAGCAATCCTTCTGTCTTAGCTTCTTTTTTAAAAATAATATTTTTATTTTATGTGTATGAGTGTATTGCCTACATATGTATAAGTGTACCTGTGTCATGGCAGTGCCCACGGAAGTCAGAAGAGGACATCGGATCCCCGGAACTGGAGTTATGGATGATAGTTAGCCACCATGTGGGTGTTGGGAATTGAACCTGGGTCCGCTGCTAACAAGAGCAGTCAGTACTCTTAACTACTGAGCCATCTCTCCAGCCCCCTGGAGAGATACAGGCATAAAACACCTTGCCTGGCAAGTTTTCTAATTTTCATAGCCTTTAAAGCGAGGGTTGGCTGGTATCTGAGGGAAGAGGTAAGTATGTCAAGGTATCCTGCTGAACTCAACACAGGTCTTTTGTTTTTTTGAGACAGGGCTTCTTGCCCATCTGGCCTGGAACTCAATGTAGCCTAGGCTGGCCTGGAACTCATGGTAATCTTGCTGTCTCAGCCTCCCCAGTGCTAGCATTACAAGTTTGTACTACCACACCCTGCAAGAATTTGCATTTGTAATTAGCTCCTGGGTTTGGCTGTTTTTTTTTGTTTTTTTGTTTTTTTTTTTAATGCTTTTCTTGAGGCAGGGTCTTACTGTGTATCTCAAACTATCCTGGGATTTACTGACTGACCTTGAACTCAAGATCTTGTCTCAGCCCCCTGAATGCTGGGATTATAAACATGGACTATGACACCAGGGTTTCCCTGATACCTTTTAAGTTCTGTGATCCTGAAAACAGAACTTTGTGACCAAGAATTGTAAAACCCCATAATGTCTTTAGAAAGCAAATAGAAGAAAAAGAAATAACTGAATTGAGCATGGAAATGATTCTGACCACATTGGAAAGACCCTTGAAAGGAAGAAGCCATGTAGGAAATAAATGATATAATCACTGGGGCTTGGCCTTGGCTCAGGGACATTGGTGTGTGATAGATGTATTTACTATCAAACTTCTATGTGTTGGGGATATAGACTGTTTCTTGGCAACTGAATCCTTTGACTGTTTAAACAATTTGCCTGCAGATAAAACCTGAGTGCTGGAAAGGGTAAATGATTGGACTCTGCTGTGGAAACTGCCTGCCTAGTTTCCCTGTCAGTGCCTCCTCTGACATATTCCTCAGGAGGTTAGCTCACCTATTTGTGAACCTCCCTCCTGGCTGTGGGCTGTGGTTCCAGATTCTCCAGAGGAAGTTTCTTTCCCAAGCTGGCTCTACTTAACTCCTAGTTCTGGGTGGCAGCCAGGCTGTCTTTGAACATGTTATCAAGAATACTTGAAAACAAAAGGCTTTGGGGCTTTCATTGAGGGTTTTTGCTTTACTTTTAAATTGCTGTAGATGCAGTTTCTAACCTTTGTAGTGATTTCTTCCTATACAGTGTTTATCTGGTTTCTTAAATATCCCCAATTTTTCCTAGAGGCAGAAATAGTTTTTTTTTCACAAAGTTTTTAAAAGTATTGGGGCCATTGAGGTGGCTTGGCACCAAGCCTGACCACCTGAGTGTAAGTCCTCATGGTAGAAGCATGTGACTACTGCAAGTTGTCCTTCATACACATACTAACACACATGTGCCCCCTCAAAAAGTAAAGTGTAAAAAATAAAATTTAGAAGCATTCACAGTCAATTGTTCATTTCAAGAGAACTGATGGAAGTATGATACTTTGAAATAGATTGTAAAATGCAGCGTTACCATGGCAACATTACCATTACCTGAATAAAACAGCCTGACTCTTAATTTTAGTTTTTAAGAGTGGGCCCAAACTTGGTGGACACCTGCTCCCCCAGATGTCTCTTGGAACTGTGTCTGGAACTGTGAGGCCAGTTAGGCTTCACCCACAGTTTTATTCAAAATTGTTTTTCTGGCTTCCATTGGGGGAGTACAAGCTTGAATCCACCCATACTGTCAGACAATCTTTTCTGTTCATCCCTAGTTCTAGAATTTCTCATACATACAATGTCAAGAATCCTTTCTCGGTCTTCATGTTTTCAATGAAGATGGGTGTGCTGTCTTTCAGTCTTTTGATACTAATTCTCGAGCACACCCACATTCATTCACTATCTTTTTGGGTGGAGTCCCAGGAAACAAGTTCAGGTGCCAAGGTCTTTTTCTGGTCTTTTTGAGACAGGGTCTCTCTGTAAGCCCCAGCTGCCCTGGAAATCACTACATAGACCAGGCTGGCCTTGAACTCACAGAGATCTGCCTGCCTCGCCCTCCCGAGTGCTGGGATTAAAGGTATGTACCACCATGCCCGGCAATAGAAACATTTTAAAAGGATGTTTTCATTAGGTTGTACATCATTTTGAATCAATTTTTATGTATGGTATGAAGTAAGGCTCTACAGTAACCTTTTTGTATGAGACAATCTTCCTTCTCCATTAAACTGTCTTGGAACTTTTACAGATAATCAGTTGATTATAAATATGAGTTTATTTCTGGACTCGAAGTTGTGTTCCACTGAATTATGTTATGTGACTAACATCTTTACATTAGTCACATAACACTATTAATTACTGGTACTTCATAAGTAAGGCTTGAAATTCATAAGCATATTCATGTTCAACTTTGTTCTTTTTAAGGAACTGTTTGAGTGTTCTGTATCCTTTGTATCACTGTATAAATTTGAGGCTGGGCTATAAATATGACAAAAATGCCTGTTGGGATTTTGTTGAGTCACTTTGTGGAGAGTTAGCATCTTAACTCTTCGTCTTTTATTCCATGAACCTGGGATGGTTCTCCACTTATTTAGATCTTTATGTTTTTGAAATTTATTTATTCAGTATGTATGAACATATGTAGGCATGCACGTACTGTCGCATGAGTATTGATGTTAGAAGACAACTTGAAGGAGTCAGTTTTCTCCTAACATATGGATTCTGGGGATTGAACTCAGGTTGTCTGCTAGTTAGTCCAAGATGGCCTTGATCTGTCTTCCTCAGCCTCCTGAGTGTTGGGATTATAAGTGTGAGCTAGCACTCTTGACCTTTAGCATTTACTTATTTAATTTTGTCTTTTTGAGACAGGGTCTCCCTGTAGCTCTGGCTGACCTGGTACTTGCTATGTAGACCAGGCAGGCCTTGAATTCACAGAGATCTGCCTTCCTCTGCCTCCCCAGTGCTGGGATTAAAGGTGTGCTCCACCACTCCTAGCAATCTTTAATATTTTAAATGATGCTTTGGAGTCTTTTAGATAGACCCACTGAAGAGGTACTCCAATTCCCT